AGTTCGGTGCATGGAAAGTTCGACGTTTGCCCTAGGCCTTACAAAACTGTGTGTACCTATACGCTGATGATCAACGTTTGATATTCTCTACATAAATTTAACACCTACTCAATAGCTTTTAATATCCTGACAGTCATTTTACCATTTGTTCTTCAAACTGGAGATTATTTTGGGAGTGTGAAAGTGGCAATTGCTTTTTTTTAAGTTTTAGACTTCTTGTAAAATGAAAATCTACGATATTAGGAGGACATGAGGAAATCAATGAACGACATTGCCCTGCTGTATGGAGAAACATATATCGCTAGGTTAAAAACCCACACATAAGAACCTGTTTTAACCTAAAATATAAAAAAGGTTCTTATTTTCTAAAATTCCGTTAACACTTAATAATTCATAAATCGAATATAAGACGTTATTGATGTTTATAGGTATAAAAATCTTTACATAAGGATCTGTTTTTGCTTAGAATTTTAAACGGCTTCTTTTTTATAAAATTCAGTTTACTGTTAATCATAAAAAACATAAGATAACCTAGATTAGGGATTTGTATTTGATAAGATGGCAGACATAATTATATGCATATTTTATAAGTTATGATTAAACGTTTTAAAAATAATTCGCTGCACATGTTTTACGCTCCTGTGTTTTTTATTCGGTAACATAAGGGGAATATAGTTTTTTTTAAATAATAACAAATTGTTATCAAATATCAAATCATAACCTCTTTAAGAACCTAAATAGCCTAGTTTTCCAGCAAACACCAACTATACATAACAACCGTTTTAGGCTAACTTAGTTAACTGTAATTGAGGACGTCCATAGAGTTTTTTTCTCAAGGTTGCGTGCATTCATCTAAATCCAAAAAACTTAATTTGACTGGTAACAAAATTAGATCAGAAGTTTTGAAATGAGAATTAGTTCTCGGAGATTTTAATAAAAATTATTATACAATTCAAATTTTTTAACAATAAAAATTTAAGGGTATACAATCTCTACGAAGAAACTAAAACAGCTAAAAAATGACGACGTTTGAACGTCAATATAACGTTATCATCAAGTAAGTGAAAATAGTAGTATAGGGAATGGGGGTTCCAGCGCAATCTCAACACGGGCAAGACCCGTGTCAAAAATCCACCTACGGACGACCCCCACTCCAAGTGTGGTTGGGGGCAACAGCGCAAATATGTTAGTCTATATATGGAGTGCGAAGAATGTAAGAAGTTCGTTA